AAACATCACCGTGGCTTATTCTTTCGCGATGCTTTATAGACGTTACGAAATGTCACACAATGTTGGCAAGTTCCAAAATAGACAGAAAAGAATCGAATGCGCCGAGCCGTGCTTATCGCGCTTCCTTATATGTAACTTGTTAGTTAACATAGTTAGAAATGCAAAATCCTAACGGCTAACGTTAATACGATTGTTGTTAAACTACAAAGGCATACAATTAGCCGCTGGTCGTGCGTCGAGCAGAGACATTTGTTATTTTTTTCAGCTACAATGATACTCGGGCATCTCGCGAAGAATCATGTGAGAAACAATTGCGCATGTTTAGATGAGTTATGAGATTCGAATGTGCAATCTTACTTTCATACGAACGATACAATACGAATGGCATGCATGCAACCTGACCGGATCGCGCCGCGGTACCAAATAGCTCGATCACGGATAATGAGAAAAGCTTTATTCAACCCCTTCCTTCCTTGGGGCAGCTCTTGAAAGTAGAAATGTGACTTTTCTCGTGGAGATTCGAGCTTAGAGAAAACGGTGTTATTTGTCGAAATTACAAAGGACCATGATCATCCACGTCCCACTGCAGCGACAGCAAAGAATTGCATTCTAAGTTTTAGGTGCACCACTGCGTTTGCATAATGATAATACATTTGCATAATCACAATGATAACTCGAGGGCAATCGAGTACGCGTGCGCGCTCGTCATCGCCAGTCGTCTCATCGCGACATGTACAAGGTGTCCTAATTTTGTATCCTACATAATGATACATAATGAAATTCCCTCCCGAGTTCAAGTTTCATTTCTTTGATCGTAACTTTAAAACGCTCATAAATTTTATAAGATTACGATAGCTTTAATTTATATGAAATGTCACTGTATTTACAATTCAATAGTTATCTAAAAAAAAATTTTTCATTTAAAATAGTTGAGCATAATTCATATACATAGAATGATACAGCTAAAATATTACAAAATAAATATAAATATTTTTGTATAATTAAAACATTTAAAATTGTAATTATTATAGAATTCTAGATATATAAAATAGTTAGTATAAAAATTGAAAACATTTGAAGAATATTGAGATAGAAGCGAAATTTAATCTTCAATAGAATTTTACAATTCTAAATAAATACTGTTAATTAAATGTCGAAGAGACCGATCTAGCAAAATTCAAAGCAATTTGTAAAAATTACAATCAATCATGAAAATAAAAATTTCAACACATTTGGATTAACTAACAAAAATTATTCGTAATTAATTTAATTTAATTTTAATTTATTATGCAAATCTATATTATATATCTATTCTTTAATTTTGAATTATGCAGAAAGAAAGTTGGCATTAATAGCGATGGAACGACGACATAAATGCATAATAAAACGTTTCGTCATATTGTTATACGAACTCAAAATTTAGCAATTGGATAATATAGGACATACTATTTACCGGACACCACCGGACACCACATCCACAGAACACTCGAAGACAAATATCAGATTTTGATGGTTAATATTGAGATATCGATGATACTATAACAAGAATGATACTATATCAGCACCGAATAGTGAAGCGATAAAAAGTCGGGATATTTTATTTTTTTCATTTATTATACTTACATATTTAGTGAGTTTCGTGTATTTTGTCGTGTCCACCGTCGTCACAGTAAAATTTTCATCGTCACAGTCATACAATGATAAAATCTCGTATACGATTAAAAATAAAGAATTATTAATTATTGAATAGTACATTTTTTATTTTGCATTGTTATCTAGCTACTTGTTATTCAACATTTTATTAGATGGCATTTATTTTTTACAAGCGTTTAACTTAGCAAATAACTTTGATAATGCCAGTTACGAATCGTGGTAATCAATCGATTTAAATATTTTAACAATCGAGTCTCGAATTTACCCATAGAACTTTCTCCATAGAACAGAATTCAAATAACTTCAATTATTTAACTTTACAATTTGGATTTATCAGAGTTGTCACTCACTGTCAACTTGTGATTTGAGTATAATAATTTTAATTGCTTGTAATTTATCATACATTTATCGAAGGAAAAATTTCGCGGGAAAATGAAAAATATGATTTATAGTTTGCGGCCACCCTGTGCATCGCTTCTTCGTGCATACGAGTGTCCTGCACCTCCGTATGTACACGCTCGTAGAAGAGCAGTCAACCTTCTCGATCTACGGTCGAACACGCAGTATACACAGAGATGGAATACGGCATAAAAGGTGTGCACGCGTGTATAAGAGCGAAATAGCTGGCAATTTGCGAGGTTTACGAGTTATTTCACAATGGCTGCAAAGTACAGTCCTACGGTATTATATTGCCGTGGTAGCTCGAGTGCTGCACGGTCAGCCAACGTTGTTGTTATACGGGGTAGAACGAGCGCGTGTGCGGGTGCGTGCAAGGAAAGGCGAGGAAGCCAGGGGTGAGAGGGGGGGAGGGAAGGGGAGAACGCGCTATTGTTCGTGTGAATATCACCTCGGGGTGGACTACTTTGTGTACGATAGGTGCTGAATGCGACTGTTGCTGAAACAAGTTCCATGGTTCCACAGGTTCTCTCGACTTCCCCCCCCCCTTCCCTTCCCTTCTCTTTAACGATACGGAGACTCCGACACTTGCGCGATTAGTACACGTAAGTAGTCGGGGCCTCGTTCAACTTCTGCTTACCCCTATTTCAAGACAATAACCAACTGACTATAAACCTGTCCGTAGGTCGAACCTTTTATTTTCCTCAGAATCGGAATCTTTTATTTTTCAGAGTCTTCGGACTTTCCTCGGCGAATCTCCGCCGAAAGGGGAGAGCGTCGCCGCGATTCGTTCGTGAATGAAAGTTCGTAAACGACGCTTGAAGTCGCGACCCGAGAAGAGAGACGCGGAGAAGACGCGGTCGGAGAGCCATGAGAAATTTCGCGAGAAAAAGAACCGCGAAAGTGCGGTACGCGAACGATTACCGACACCTCCGACAGGAAAGAAAAAAAAAAGAAAAGAGAAAGAGAGAGAGAGAGAGAGAGAGAGAGAGAGAGAGAGAGGAGGAGAGAGAGAGAGAG